GCTGAACCAGATGGGGCAACTGACAACTGACGCCCAGGAAAAAGCCAACCTATTAAATAGGTACTTTGCGTCAGTCTTTCATCAGTCCCGTGGGACGCCCATGCCCGCTATGGGACAGGGAAGTCCGGTTGAGGGTGATCCCCTGCCCTCCATTGATGCTGACTTCGTGAAGGAACCTCTTGAGAAGCTGGATACCTTCAAGTCAGCCGGCCCTGACAATCTTCACCCCAGGGTACTCAAGGAGCTGGCGAGCATCATAGCCCAGCCTCCAGCATGGATCTTTGAAAACTCTTGGCACTCTGGTGTAGTGCCCGAAGACTGGAAGAAGGCCAATGTGGTGCCTATCTTCAAGAAAGGGAGAAAAGTGGATCCGGCTAACTATAGGCCCATCAGCCTGACTTCTATCCCGGGGAAGATCTTAGAAAAGTTTATTAAAGAGGCCATCCTTAATGGACTGGCCGACGCCAACAACTTAAGGGATAGCCAGCACGGGTTTGTTGCGGGTAGGTCTTGCTTGACCAATCTCATTTCCTTCTACGACCAGGTGACCTATCACCTGGACAAGGGAGAAGAGATTGATGTCATATATCTTGACTTCAAAAAAGCCTTCGATCTGGTGTCCCATGATCGCCTCTTGGAGAAACTGGCCAATTGTCGCCTTGGGTCCTCCACGATCCACTGGCTGGAAAATTGGCTCCGGGGTCGGACCCAGAGGGTAGTAATCGATGGAAGTCACTCATCGTGGTGTCCTGTGACCAGTGGGGTCCCCCAAGGCTCTGTCCTTGGACCCATACTGTTCAACATCTTCATTAATGATGTGGACACTGGAGTCAGAAGCGATCAGAACTGGCCAAGTTCGCCGATGACACCAACCTTTGGGGCAAAGCATCCACACCAGAAGACAGGCAGGTTATCCAGGCTGACCTGGACAGGCTCAGCAAGTGGGCGGACGAGAATCTGATGGTGTTCAACGCCGATAAATGCAAGGTTCTCCACCTTGGGAAAAAAAACCCGCAGCATCCTTATAGGCTCGGCAGTGCTATGTTGGCTAGCACTATGGAACTCCCCTTGTACTCGGCCTTAGTGAGGCCGCAGCTGGAGTACTGCGTCCAGTTTTGGGCTCCACAATTCAAAAAGGATGTGGAGAAGCTTGAGAGAGTCCAGAGAAGAGCCACGCGCATGATCAGAGGTCAGGGAAGCAGACCCTACGATGACAGGCTGAGAGCCCTGGGGCTCTTTAGCCTGGAAAAGCGCAGGCTCAGGGGTGATCTGATGGCCACCTATGAGTTTATCAGGGGTGACCACCAGTATCTGGGGGAACGTTTGTTCACCAGAGCGCCCCAAGGGATGATGACTAGGTCGAATGGTCATAAACTACTACAAGACCATTTCAGGCTGGACATAAGGAAGAATTTCTTTGCTGTCCGAGCCCCCAAGGTCTGGAACAGCCTCCCACCGGAGGTGGTTCAAACACCCACATTGAACACCTTCAGGAGCAAACTGGATGCTCATCTTGCTGGGATCCTATGAACCCGGCTGACTTTCTGCCCTTTGGGCAGGGGGCTGGACTCAATGATCTTCCGAGGTCCGTTCCAGCCCTAATGTCTATGAAATCTGTGAAATCTATGAACTGTTTTTGGGGACCTGCTTGCTGGTGTTTGCAAGACATTTAAGGCTGATGAAGAAATAGGAATACTTGGAAATAGAGAAGAAAGGTGCAGCTCAGCTGCTGGAGTGAAGAGGAAGTAAAAATATATGCCATGTAGTAGCTCACTATGACTTGGAAAAGAGTTGGCTCTGATGGGGACTGAGCATGTGGGGCACTGTCATTTATCTCATTCAGATGGGCTGCACTGATCTATTTTTGTGGTACGTTCCCATCAGCATCTCAGCTTTTGGCTAAGATCAAATGCAACAAGCATTTTGACACCACAGGGAGGATGTCAGGGTCACCTCTGGCTGCCCTAGTATTGCAATAATTTTAAGTCTGGCACCAGTTCCTATGGAGGTAACACTTATGTATGGGGGGGGGGGGGGGTCTTGGGAGGGGTTAAGGGCCAAACAAACAAACAAAAAGTCCACATCAGCATTTCTGGCATCAGGGGAGGGTGTCAAAGCTCGCTCTGGCCTCTGCAAGTGCAGTACCTCCAGGCGTGGCACGTGTTCCATTCTGAGGGAGTAACTGCCCTTTTTGTGGGACTCACTCACTCACTCACTCCAGTATGTTTACCCAAATATGGGCCATGGTTTTTTTTTTTTTAATAGTCATGTCCAGTGTTGGCTGTATTTATTCAGCTTGATACTTGGTTTGAATTACTGAGCACATGCTGCTTTTGGCCGCAATTGAGTGATAGACAAGGTGTTTAATGAGGTTGTCTTATATGCAATTATAAGATGATAGCTTTTCCCCCATGCTGACTGAGAGGGGGGGGGGGGGGGTTGGCTCATCTTGTATATGAGTAAATATGGTAATAGAGCAATTCTTCTGTGGCAAAGAACTTGCAAAAACCACAGTAGGTCAGAATATTTTTTATTTTTGTGGATTCCTACTGTTTGATTGTTTGCAACATTCTCATGGGCAATACATCAGTATTCATTATATTTACCTAAGCATTTATTTTCATTTTGGTTTCTTGGCTTTTTTTACTAGTTGAGGTTGACCCCTGGCTTTTTTACTAGTTGAGGTTGAACCGTGAACCTGGAGGATTAGGGTATTCCTCTTAATCTGGTCTCTGCCTCTCAACCTGTTTGGCACGGGTGATCCTTTTGGTAGCTATGCCATGATACTGCCAACATAACTCTTGGATTGACAGAGACATGCAAACCATTCCATTATATCGAAGTGGAAATACCTTTGGAGTATTGTGAGAACTGATGTTTTTGGAATCTCAGTTGTAAAGTATTAGACCTCAAGGCAGAACAAGGTAATGATAGGAATGTAACAGAAATATGATCTGGAAGGGATAGACAAAGATGTGACAAGAGAGATTGCACAAGATAGGAGGAGACCGGAGGCAGTTGTTAAGGTGACTATAGGCCCTTAAGATCTATGAGATGAGAGAGAAACATTTATTTTGCAAACTTCACCAAGTTGTCTCAATGTAATTTCAGAATTAAAGTTTGTAATTTTTATGTGATCAAGCAAGCTGAATTAAATTCTTCAAATCGGAAAGAGAAAGTTAAAGTGTATAATTTCTGTGTCTCATTTGTTTTTAAAGGAGTAACCAGTTGGGAATGTTCACAAAAAAAGAATTTGATCAATTGGCCCCAGTAGTGGACAGTTTCAGTCTCATGACCTATGACTATTCAACCCCACAACGGTAAGGCTACAAGGATGAAAACAGGTAACCTAATAACTTGATACCCGTTTTTGTACCTATGAAATACATAAGGGTTGATTTACAATAAGGGTGGTTAGTTTGCTTGAACAGATGTAAGATTTTTGGGTTAGGGGATAGGATTATAAGTGAAAACTCAGCTTTCAAAGCTGTGCAATAATTGGATGCTCAATACCTATTAACTTTAATGGACATTAAGTGTCCCAGTTCCCCAAAAGGTTCTGATCCTCCACGTAAGGTTCTTTTTACTTTGATTTTAGACCTTTGTAGGTGCAGATCCACATAGGATGATGCATGAGTGAGGATATTTTCATATGTGCATCTTTGGCAGAACTGGACACATCTACATGAGATGCTTTACTGCACAGTAGAACTAATTACTGCATAGTAAGAATCACCATCTACACATGCTGGCCCTAACTGCACAGTAATTTCCTCTACTGAGCAGTTAATTTGTTACCTGCAAATGCAAATAGCAAATTAACTATTGAGTAATTACTGCTCAATATGGCAAATGTAGATGGCTGACCAGGAGCAAATTTGCTCCTGGTTAGCTGAGCAGCAGGGGGTGGGAGATTGCTCCCTGCCCCTGGGAACTGCCTTTTGCTGGGGTGGGCTCTGCTGCTGGAGCCCAGGCAAGGAAAATGTCCCTCTGCAGCAGGGAGCTTTCAGCCCTTGCTTTGTGATTGCAGAGTTGGGGGTGGGAGGTTCCATGCATGGCTGTTCGGACCCATGAAACCCTAGCCGACTACCTCCTCACCCATATGAACTGGAAGCCCTTCCCAGATGAGTAGGGCTGGTAGGCTTTGCGTGCCCATGCCCTGGCACCAGGTCAGGTGCCATATCCATCCAGGGTTACCTTAAAGTGCTATCTACCATTTTTACAGTGCTCTATGTGCCCTGACCATCTGTTTTCATTATGTCTGTAGAGGGCTTTCTGTGTGATTACTGTACAATAAATTTAATGTCTGTACCTAATCTAGAATACCTTAATCCAAAAACAGTTATTTTTATTGCTTTTAGGCCCTACCTGGGTGAATGAGCAAGAGCACTTTTATTCTGTGGAATGTGGGTATTAAGCACAACTAATAGCTTGCCAAATTTGGCTTTCAGATTTTTGGGTTCATGAAAATAAAAATTTGCTGTGTGTTCCATTGCTGATCCAACAGGCCTGGTCCAAATTCACCTCTTCCCTGGGTAAGAGCCTGTGTGCAGATGCTAGATCCCGAATCCAAATGGAGAAGTAAAATTCTTCTTGGGCTGAATTTCTATGGCATGGACTATTCAGCTCTGGGTGCCTCTGGGGAACCTATCTTTGGCAGCAGGTAAGATTTGTACAGGTGATGAAAGTTTTATTTAAAATGGCTTTTTTATAAAAATGAGTGTATAGAAATGCTCACTTTTTAGGATGTGGACGTGACAAGTATGTTTACATGAAATTGTTGCTTGAAGAATTTTTCTTATCACATAAAAATAGAGTAGGAGTTGGTCTTTTTATATTGATGAGATGACCTCTGTTGCTGGAAGCCACGAATGCTGGCAGGGAACCACTGCTATCTATCTGTGTAAGAATTTTTTTTTTCTACTTTTTCATCTTTTTGGCAGTGGCTTGGCTATTTCTTAAAATGCTCTTAAATATTCTCCTCTGTATCATTGGTAGATTTACTCACCTGACTTGCAGTCTGCTTTCCTGAGCTGCTGAAATTGTTACTTGTTAACTTAAATGTTGATGCTTGTTTACAGATGCATCACCGTATCAATATTTTTTGTGAATGTTCTCTCAAGGAAAAGGCTGCAGGTAGCCCACCTTCAGATTAGAATTTACAAGCAAAAAGAGAAATAAAATAACTTTTCCGAAGACAATTTGGAACTCCAATATTATTGTTAGAAAGAAAATTGTTGTCTCTGTTTTGGGTGATAGCCTACATAAGTTGTTGTGTTCCTTCTTTACAAAAGTATGTTATGCAGGTAGCTAACTGAACCAGAGAAGGAATCTCTTGAAATATCAAAGTGAATTTGACATTAAATCAAACTTAAAAAAAACCAAACAAAACCTGTGGCACAAGAACTGTAATTCTTATTTTCACCCGTAAGTGAGATGTGTTAACTAAATCAATGAACCCAAGATATTTCATTACCAATAACAGCTTGTCCATTAGGCAGTAAAGCACAACTTGTCTGGGCAAAGGCTCCTAAGTTGAAGGCTCTTTTTTCCCTTTCTGGCTCTTCATGTGTGCAGACATTTTTTGACCATGTGTATTGTGCTCTGTTTCTTTGTCTGCATTTCATTCGTGCCTTTTCCTGGCAATTTGTTGGTTTTCAAAATTGTAGATGTAGTTAATTGAAAGTGTAGTGTTGAATTATTTCTGAATCTGGCTGAGTAATAGAGACCTGATGATAATGGGTGAGGGATAGGGCGTGCAAAGCAGTTGTCTAAAGGAGAGCTTGTAAACACCGAAGAATTATTATACAGCATAGCAAAATAGCTACCATAAAATGTACTGCAGCAGTTTCACAGAAGTAATGCTACACTGTTGAAAAACTAATGAATTTACAAATGTAATTACTGTAGTGCACAGTATAATTAATATAATTTCTGCTACAACATTCACATTTTTTTTTCTGTAGACAAACAGGAATATAAAGTACTTTAATATCTGCTACAGTAATAGTGTCTTGTTGGCTTTTTAACTGTTTTGTAACTTCTGCAATAAAGTTTCTAATAAAAAGTATACTGGACATTATTACAGTGCACAGTTTTATTGTACATTGGGCATGTGTGCAAATGCATTTGATCTGGCCTAAATTCACTGTGGTGTAAGCTACTCTGAAGTAAGTGCTTTTGGGCAAGCATCTACACATGCAGGGATCAGGGAGTAGATTTGCTGCTTTTTGCACCACGTTTCATAGTCCTGCAATGGGCCCTTACTGCCACTGGGAGGAGTTCTAGGCTCCGTCTGCATGCTAGCCTAGGGGCTGGCAGAGAGCACTGGGGGGGCTGCCTGCTGCTGAGGCAGGGACCTCCTGGCTCTGGCTGCCTAATATGGGGCAGGGGACATGGAGAGAACTGCAGGGGAGTGACAGGTTCCAGCCCCCTGCCCCAATCCACAAGTGGGGCAGCTAGCTCCTTGCTAGCTGCCTCACCGGCAGATTGGGGCAGGGGGCTTGGACCTACCTGACCTTTGCAGCTCTTTCCAAGCCCCATGACTTGATCACCTGGTTGGGGCATGGGGCAGGGACCTGTCCCTGACCAGGACAGCTCCCAGCTCCCACCCTGCATGCTGGGCAGAGGCTAGGCAGCTTGTTCTCTGTAAAGCTCCGTAAGCATGGAGCTGGGGGTGGCGGGAACAGGCTGTGGGGCTTGTTCCCTGCCCAGCTGCATGAGTGCAGAACTGGTGGGGAGAACAGGCTAGGTGGCTTGTTCCCTACCCAGTTCTGTGAATGCGGAACTGAGCGGGCAACAAGCTCCCCGGCCTGTTTCCACTCCCCCCACCCCCTCACAGCTCCATGCTCATGGAGCTGGGCAGGGAATAGGCTCCCCTGCCTCTGCCAGCATGGAGCTCCCAGCGCTGGTTGCACAACTATGGGGCTGTTGCTAGAGAGACCCTTATCTCATTATTTATTCAGGATTAGGGCAGTTTACTGTGTAGTAAACATGCACACTTGTTGATGAACATGCTTACTTCTCAGTAAGCTATGCTAATGTATAGTTAAGCATCTCATGTAGATGTACCCATTATGTAGTGTAAGTCCCAATCATGTTGTCTTTGAGTTGATAGCAAAAATGTGGTAGCTAATTGCTTATAAAAAACCACCTTAATGTAACTGTTGCCAATAGAGAATGCATTCTGACAAATATGCGTGTTTTAAGTTACTACTATGCAAGGACAATAGATTGTGCAGAGGGGAACAGTCTGGTTGCTGTTGATGGTAGTATTATGGTATCATCATAGTTCAGTTACCTAAGTGCAAGTGGGATTATAAAAACCCTTTTTTAATGCTGAGGTGCTTCTCTTCACATGTATGATTTTGTAATTGAGGTTTCCATGCTTAATTTAATAAATACAGATCACTGTTTATATTTATTTTTCTGGGACTGTATTTGAGCATGCATAGTTAAATTGATTAATCTTAATTGTACATACCAGGTGTGGCAGCAGAACTGTCTGTATTTTAACTAGTAATAGAGTGAATGCAAGAAGTCCACAGATTCCCTGCTTGTGTTTTTTACACATTCAGCTGTATTCTACCACCAGTGTCAGACTTCAAGGTGTAAAGAAACTGGAGTTACTCATAGATTACTATAGGAATCCTTTTGGGATGTCTTTAAAAGTACATAGTTTTGATGCTCAGTGTTATAGGTGATGGTTTGCGGTATGTTTGATTTGGGGGAGAGTCTTCTTGAGACCCACATGGAACAGGATCCAGGCTATGCCAACTCAGCACATCTACACACGCGCCTGACTGCGTAGTTGTTACTGTACAGCTAAAGCAAGTATTAAATGACTACATAAGAACTACCAGTACTGCACCTAAGTAGGCCTGTGCAAAGCTTCAGTCCCTGACTCGATTTGGTGGAGATTCAGCCCAATTTGGTGGCCGAATCTCTGAATCAGGAGACCCTTTAATGTCTCCGAATCAAATTGGAACCCTTTGAATCGATTCAGAGAGATTCAGAAAGATTCGGCGATTCAGACATAGACACAGCTTTAAATGTTTTTTCTACATACCTCTAGGTACCAGGAAGCTCGTGAATGCCAAGATGGTGGGGGAGATGGAGCGTCCCACAGAATCATGAGAGGGTCTGCAGTATGCTCAGCAGGAGACCTGGAAGTGGGACCAGAAGTGCTTCTGGTCCAACTTCTGGGTCTGCCGGGGAGCATGCTGGGGGGCCCCTCTGTACCCACTGGCTTGGCGACTGGTGCCTCCTGGGTTGGGAGGGGCACCCGGGGTCCCCCTGTGGCCACTCGCTGAGTTGGGAGGGACCCAGCGTGCTCCCTAGCGGACCCGGAAGTGGACCAGAAGTACTTCTGGTCCTCTTCCAGGTTTGCTGCCAAGCAGTCATGGGCCCCCCACTCCCCGTGATCCTGTGTGATGCTCCATCTGCCCCAGCTTCTTAGCATTCACAAGTCATGCCTGGTACCTCGAGGTATGTAGAAAAAACATTTAAAGCTGTGTCTATGGCTGAATCACTGATTCTCTGAATCAGCATCGAATCTTCAGATTCAGATTCGGCCAGATCGAATCAGGGACCATGATCTCCCTCCCATTTATGAAATCATAGAACTGTAAGCTTTGAAGGTACTTTTGGGGGTCATCTAATCCAATACCTTGCATGAACAATTTAAGTTAAGAGTAGCTGGTTTTAGTGTTTGCAGTGGATCTCTAGGAGCAATAAGGAACTGCCTCTGAAACCTATTCTTCATTATAATCTAGCAGAGCTCAGGAGTGATCCTCTTGACTCACTTGTAAGTTTTACTTTGCTCTTGCCTGAATCATGTGGGGATGGATACATTTCTTTTTCTGTAACAGGGTTGGTGGATAGTTGCAGAAATATGTCTTGGAAGTGATCGTAGAGTCCTGATCCTCTACAGCCACTAGACAGTTTTAGGGGGACTGTAATAAAAGTTGGACAGTCTCTGGAGGCAAACCAGATTACAACATGCTATGGCTGCACACATCTCTTTCTTCCTCGCACCACATCATGTCAGGAGTGGGCCTGACCCCTACCTCGGCAGGAGGAGGGGGGTGAGGGGAGAGGGAGAGAGAGGATCCCCAAACTGCCATGGTGCAGAGAGTCATGTATGTGCATTGCAGCAGGGAGCAGGTACAGAATAAAAATAGATCAAAATTGAGGCAACAATAATCAAGAAACTTTGGTACTGTAAGGTATGGCAGTTGTAGCAAAACACCAAATTACCCCTGGCAACAGTATCCAGCAGTAAATACAGAATGCAAGAGATACTGCAAGAAAGGACATTTTGCAAGGTAGTGCAGATCATCCAGGTTTGTAGAAATAATTCAGGATGAGGAAGTGGCATTAGATGATGATGACTTTATGGTACTATGAACTACCGCATTTATCTGAATCTAAGATGACCCTAAATTTAAGATGACACCCCCCCCCAATAATTAGACTTATACATGAAACATGTATACATTTGTTATAATTTTTGATGTATAGAATCTAATTATTGGAGGGTCATCTTTAATCTGCCTGCCCACCACTGCAAGGAGGTCCATTTGGACCCTGTCAAAATGGATGGGGCCACAGGCTGTAATTTCCAAAAGACCTACAACCATATTGACAGGGCTGAAATGTTCT